AGATTGACCACATGTTAGGCCACAAAACAAGTCTCAATAAATTTAAGAAATTCGAAATCATATCAAGTATCTTCTCTGACCACAGTGCTATGAAATTAGAAATCAACTACAAGAAAAAAACTGGAAAACACAGAAATACATGGAGGCTAAATAATATGTTACTAAATAGCAAATGGGTCAAAAATGAGGTCAAGGAAGAAATCAAAAGATACCTCAAGACAAACAAAAATGAAAACACCATGACCCAAAATCTTTAGGATGCAGTGAAAGCAGTCCAAAGAGGGAAGTTCACAGCAATGCAGGCCTACCTAAAGAAGCAAGAAAAATCTCAACTCAACAGGTTATCCTTACACCTCAAGCAACTGGAAAAAGAACAGCAAAATAAGCCCAAAGGGATTACAAGGAAGGAGGTAATAAAGACCAGAGCGGAAATAAACAAAATAGAGACCAGAAATAGAATTCAAAAGATTAATGAAACCAAGAGCTGGTTTTTTGAGAAGATAAACAAAATTGACAAACCTCTAGACAGACTCATCAAAGAAAAAAAGAGAGAAGACACAAATTAGTAAAATCAGGAATGAAAAAGGTGAAGTGACAACAGACACCACAGAAATACAAAAAGTTTTAAGAAATTGCTATGAGCAACTATATGCCAACAATTGTGACAATCTGGGAGAAATTAATAATTTTCTAGAAGCATACAACCTTCCAAAGCTAAGTCAAGAAGAAACGGAAAAGCTGAATAGACTGATTACTACCAAGGAAATTGAATCAACAAGTTCCCAAGAAACAAAAGCCCTGGACCAGATGGCTTCACAAGTGAATTTTACCAAACATTCAAAAAAGAATTATCACCTATTCTTCTCAAACTATTTCAAAAATTCCAGAAGGAGGGAAGGCTACCAAACTCTTTCTATGAGGCCACTATCACCCTGATTCAAAACCAGACAAAGACAATACAAAAAAGGAAAACTACAGGCCAATATCCGTGATGAACATAGATGCAAAAATTCTCAACAAAATATTAGCAAACAGAATTCAGCAATATATTAAGATGAGTATACACCATGATCAAGTGGAATTCATCCCCAGTATGCAAGGTTGGTTCAATGCCCGCAAATCAATTAATGTGATACACCACATCAACAAAATGAAAAATAAAAATCATATGGTCATATCAATAGATGCAAAAAAAAGCTTTTGACAAAATTCAGCAGCCATTTATGATAAAAACTCTTAGCAAAGTGGGACTAGAGGGATCATATCTCAACATAATAAAGACCATATATGATAAACCCACAGCTAGCATCATACTCAATGGGGAAAAGCTAAAACCATTCCCCTTAAGATCAGGAACAAGACAAGCCTGTCCACTTTCTCCACTTTTATTCAATATAGTTCTGGAAGTTTTAGCCACAGCAATCAGACATGAAAAAGAAATAAAAGGCATCCAAATTGGTAAGGAGAAGTAAAATTGTCATTATATATAGATGGCATGATACTATACATACAGAACCCCAAAGACTCCATCAAAAAACTATTAGAACTGATAAATGAATTCAGTAAGGTAGCAAGATACAAAATCAATATTCAGAAATCAGTTGCATTTGTATACACCAATAATAAACTATCAGAAGGAGAAATTAAAAAAACAGTCCCATTTACAGTTGCTTCAAGAACTATAAAATACTTAGGAATAAATCTAAACAAAGAAGTAAAAGAGATAGAAAGACACAGACCAAAAAACTAGAAGCATTCATCAAAACTCTTTCAGAAATAATGAAGGGGGTCAGAACGTGAAGGTTTAAAGCTGACAAGTCAGATTAGGTTTATTGTCACCCTTGGCAGGAGAAGCTGAGAGTTTTCAGGGTTGGAGGACTTTGATGTGTCCCATAAAAGTTTACTCAACTGGTACAAATAAAGATTGCGAAGGACCTGAGTAGGAATCAAAGAATCATTAACAGTAATGAAATAGAACTAGCAGCCAGAGTCACACACCAGAAGTATAAGTGTTGGTCTCTTAGGGGATAAATGAATTGATCAGCATAGAAGTGGCAATACACATCTGAGAGGCAAGTTTGACAAACAATTTCTCTAGAACTGGAAGGAATTTTTGAGATAATAGCCTCTAGAAGTTTCTGCCCAGGCACTTACACTCTACATTCATCTGATATCTCCGTGCACTCCCCCACTCCAACTCCCAGACTTATTTATGAAAAAGATTAGGAAATCTGACTTTGTGATGACTATGGGACCTCAAAGGGTTTACTATTGGGAATCGCTGCCTGCTGTTACTGGGCCCCAAACTTTTGGACCTATTCAGGCATCCTATTTCCGTCAGGGCAAGGACGGTGGTTTTTTTGTTTGTGTGTTTTTTTTGTTTTGTTTTTAAAATCTTTTCAGCTCTGACCCTTCTAAATACAATGACTGATTCATACCTGATGCCTAATCCATACTTGTGAAGTAAATGAATGAATCATTAAACCAGACCTGAGGGAGGCCTATAATTTGGTGATGTCTCAGAATTTACTTATATATTCATTTACTCCTCATTTTATTTTTATTATGTATTCTTCCACAAGGGATTTGGAAAAGCTTATAAGAATACATATGATCAAATAGAAAGTATAAATAATAAATAAAGCCAGGATCATTGGAAATATATATTACGCAAAAATAAGTCACTGGAATGGAGTGAGTTATGCAAGTAGTAAGGCTCCATATAATTATCTGAGCCACAGATTCAGATCTGAGTTTTCTGCTGAACAAATGAAGGCCAATCACGATTCTCTTGACTGCAGAGGCAAAACATTCTAGTTTCTCAAGCTTTTTACCAGAACTTAACTCCAAAATAAATTTCTGGTATGGAGCTTTATATCTGGGACATTGAGTAATGTGGTAATGTCCTCAATGATATTGTTACAGCAAATCCAATAGGGCTAAAAAAAAAAAGAAGTAAAAGACCTGCACTCAGAAAATTATAAGACACTGAAGAGAGAAATTAAGGACGACACAAATAAATAGAAACACCTACCATGCTCATGGATAGGAAGAATTAATATAGTTAAAATGTTCATACTGCCTAAAGCAATACATAGATTCAATGCAATTCCTATCAAACTACCAAGGGCATTTTTCACAGAAATAGAAAATATCATCCTAAAATTTATGTGGAACCATAAAAGACGCCAAATAGCCACAGAAATTCTGAGAAATAAGAACAAAGTCGGAGGTATCACGCTACCCGACATCAAATCATATTACAAGGCTACAGTAATCAAAACAGCATGGTACTGGCATAAAGACAGGCACATAGATCAATGGAACAGAATAGAGAGCCCAGAAATAAATCCATTCATATACGGTCAATTAACTTATGACAACAGAAGCAAGAATTTACATTGGGGTACAGATAGTCTATTCAATAAATGGTGCTGGGAAAATTGGACTGACACGTGTCAAAAAATGAAAATGGACCACCTACTTACACCATATACAAGAACAAATTCAAAATGGATTAAACACTTAAATGTAAGACCTGAAACCATAAAACTCCTAGAAGAAAACATAGGGAGTAAATTCGCAGACATTACCCTAAGCAATATTTTTACTGATATATCCCCACGGGCAAGGGAAGTAAAAGAAAAAAATGAACATATGGGATTACATCAAACTTAAAAGTTTTTTCACAGCAAAAGCAATCATCAATAAAACAAAAAGGAATCCTACTGAATGGGAAAAGATATTTGTCAACGATACATCTGTAAGGGGTTAATATCCAAAATCTATAAAACACTCATTCAACTCAACACCAAAAAAACAAACAACCCAATTAAAAAATGGGCAGAGGATACAAAGAGACATTTCTCTAAAAAGGACATACAGATGGCCAACAGGCATATGAAAAAATATTCAACCTCACTAATCATGAGAGAGATGCAAAACAAACCCTCAATGAGATACCACCTTACTCTGGTCAGAATGGCTATCATCAATAAATCAACAAACAACAAGTGCTGGCGAGGTTGTTGGGAAAAGGGAACCCTGGTGCACTGTTGGTGGGACTGCAGATTGGTGCAGCCATTATGGAAATCAGTATGGAAGTATCTCAAAAAGCTAATAATGGAACTACCTTATGACCCAGCAATTCTACTCTTAGTTATTTATCCAGAGAAACCCAAGACACTAATTCAAAAAAATATATGCACCCCTATGTTCATTGCAGCGCTATTTACAATAGCCAAGACTTGGAAACAATAGAAATGCCCATCAATAGACAACTGGATTAAGAAACTGTGGTACATTTATACAATGGCGTATTACTCAGCTATAAAGAAGAATGAAATCGTACCATTTGCAACAATATGGTTGGGCCTAGAGCATTAAGCTAAGTGAAATAAATCAGTCAGAGAAAGACAAATACCATATGATCTCACTTATATGTGGAATCTAAAGAACTGAATGAACGAGCAATGTAAACAGAAATAGTCTCAGGGACACAGAGGAAAAACTGATGATTGCTAGATGGGAGGGGGTGGGGATGAGGGAGAAGGGGAAGGGAGGAGACCACATGAATTGGTAACTTCAATATTGCCTCAGGGATAGAAAAGACAGTTTGGGGAATAAAATTAATAATGTTGTAAATATTTTTTAGGGGGCCAGATGGACTCATGTCTTGTTAGGGAAACCACTTCATGGACGGTGTAGAGGCCTGACCACCGCACTGTACATCTGAAGCTACCACTGAATAATATTGTATGTCAACTGTAATTTAACATATAGAGAGTCACGAGGTGTGGAGTACAGTGTGGGGAGTGGAGTCAATGGAATTGTAATAGATATGTATGATATCAGGGGTGGAGGGGTGGTGGATTGAAGGAGGGGGGTTGTCACTTTGTGAGGGGTGAAAAGCATAACTATTGCGTTGTTTTTTACACCTAAAACTAAAAAACAAACAAACAAACAAAAAACTGACCTCTAAAGGCTACAAACTGTATGATCACATTTATATAATATTCTTCAAATGACAAAATGATACAAATGGAGAGAAGGTCAGTGTTTGCTAGGGTTTGGGGACGCGGGAGAGAGGAACGTGGCTGTGGCTCTAAAAGAGTAGCAGGAGCCATCCTGCAAGGGACACTGTTACTCGTCTTGGCAGTGCTGTCACAGACATCTATCTATATAAGTGACAGAAGTGCACAGAACTAAACGCACACAAATGAATGCGTGGGACACTGACAGAATTTGAATATGGTCCACGAATTGCGACAGCGTCAATTTCCTGCTTGTGACATTATACTATAGTTATTCAAAATGTTACCAGTGGGGGAACAGCGACGTCCGGGCTTCCCTAATTTCACTCCTAGAACCGGGAATTTCTCTTTGTGAATCCAGACCTTCCTCATGACAGTCCCGGTTCTCAATAACGTCAGGCTTAATTTGAGATCCAAAGAAAAGCGAAAACGCAACTGCAAAAGAGGAGGACGGTGGACTAGGAGAATTCGTCTAAATGAGTCAGCCAGCTCCTCCCTCCTCTTGTCCATGCCTTCCTCCGATATTTGAAATTTCCTGGCGGAATAAAGTTGCAGCCGGAATAAGACACAGGGGTGGTAGAGAGAGCAGAGGGGCAGGCGTGAGGCGTCAGGCGTGAGCAAGTGGCCTGGACTGCGCTCCCTGGGCATGTGACCTGACCAGACGCACCTCGGCGACACTTCCGCTGTCATTCAGCTGTCCGATCGGGTCTCCCACCGTGATCCGACCGGTGGAGGGCAGGGCCGCTCTCCCGCCAGCCTGAGGTCCAGGAGTGCAGGAACTCTTGGAGAGGTGAAGTCGGAGCGACAGGCGGAGACCAGCGAAGGGAGGTGACCAGTGGAGAAGTCAAGTATGAGCGCCCACCGGCTGTGTTTACCGGAAAGACCTTGCTTCCCGATGGCTTTGCCCACTCCCTCTGCGTGGGGACACGACACCGAATGGACTTTGGGAGTCAGGAGAGGCGAAGAGGGAAGACGGGGAGGGATCCAGGCCTCCGCAGGTGATGGTCCGGGTCTCCGCTCTGCGCGGCCGGCGGCGCGGCGAGGACTGGGGCGGCGGCACGGGGGTCTCCGTGGTTGCCGGGGCTTTTTCTAGAGGAAGGGGTGGGAATGCTGAGTCACAGATCTGTCACGGCTTCTCACCTCTCCCCAGCCCTGTGGGGGCTAAAGCAAAAGCGAAAGCGAATGCGACTCGTAGGACGGTCAGTCCCAGGAACTGCGCCCTCCACCTCCTCCCAGACCGCCCGGCATCTGCGCTCGCCGGCAGCTGGGCGCCCCGGGCGTCCTGTGCGAGCCCGAAAGGTAGCCCGCGACGGCGCGGCCGAGGGCAAGGCCATGGCCGGCCTGCGACTCCGGGGCTGCCGGGTCAGCGACCTCTCGGAGCTGCTCTTGCTGCTGCTGCTCTGGCCGCCGGTGACGCCAGGTAGGGAGACGTGCGCCCTTGGCGGGGCGGCGGGCGGGAGCCTGGGCGCCGGAGGGGGACGGCACTGAGCGCCCCACCTACCGCGGCCGCGAGTCAGTCGGCGAGGAAAGGGGTGTGCGCCCGCGCGCAGGGGACACGTGGAGGGAGCGGTGGCCAGGGGCAAGGGCGCCGGTCCCTGAGCCCCCAAACCACCCGGCTTGCCTGGTCACCCAAGGGAGGGAGCTGAGTGGTCAGGCTTTATACGACGTCTTCCCGATTTCCGAGGCAAAGGGAAAAACCCGGGGGTTGCAATGGGGGATCCGAGTTGGTTGTACAGCAGTTTCGAGAACTGTGTGAACGCGGTTCTTCGAGCCCCACGAGGAAGGCTGCGTAGGTGGTGCACAGCTTGCAGTCCCCGCAGAGGGCCGAGGAAAACGACCCTGTCAGTACCCTCAGACGAAAGCAGATAACACGGGTGAATAGTGGTAGGACGGGGTGGGGACCGCGTCCCTGGGGAGAGAAAACGTGTTGGGCAGGTTGCACACCTGGGGGACCTGGAAACCACTCCAGATTCTTAAGCAGCAGGAAACCGTGAGAGGGCGCGGGTGGTGCGGCAGCCTGGAGTACGCGCTCCCAGGCAAACGGGAAGAAATGAAATTGGTGATGACTTGGTGTAGGTCCCAAAGATGTAACCTCGTTGGGAAGAATCAAACGAGTGACCGGTAGGTTTTTCTCTTGGAAGCTGGAGAGGAGGGAGAGAAAGGATAGATGGGTCTGGCTTTATCCCTGTTGGAGCTTCTTAATCTTTGTAGTCTGGGAGCTCTTTGAGGGTCTGATGAAACCTACAAACCCTCTCCCCAGAAAAATGCATGAAGTTACTTACAAAACTTGTACATAATTTTGGGGTCAGGGACCCACTGAAGGCTATCCATAGACTCCCCAGGAGAGTTAGTACTCCCATGATATTTCTCCACCCCTCCCTCGTGTGTGTGTGTGTGTGTGTGTGTGTGTGTGTGTGTGTGTGTGTGTTTAAGGTAAGACTCCCAATCATTGACATCTAGTCTGTCGGACCAGTCTACCCAGTTGCTTCTGGCTGGCTTGGTGTGAATCCCATAGCAATCTGGGATTCCCTGAAGTTTTATTTTCCTGAGACTATATTTGGGTGTTTCTCCACATCTGAGAATCTGAGTTATGTGGGTGACCTGGTCAGTCCTCCCAGTTGGCTAAGCAGTGTCCTGCATGACCCCTGAGGAGATGTGGGAGATAGCCAGGGGACTGGAGCAACTCTATTGCACAATGCGAAAGTGAAATGCAGTCAGAGCCCAACAAAGATGAGCAGTCAGAGTGCAGAGAGAACAACTGCCAGCCATGTCTCTAAAGCTCATTGGCTACAGCATCGCTCTCTGATCTCATGAAGTTATTGCTGTCATCTGGTAACTACTGATGTTTCTTAGTTTTTCCTTAACAGATTTACTGAGGGATAGCTGACAGATAAACTACATACATTTAAATTGCACGATTCGATAAGTTTAGAGGTAAATATGTACACTCATAAAAACATCACCACAATTAAGAGAATAAACGTAGTCATCACTACCAAAAGTTCCTTCATATCCTACATACTTCTTACCTCTCACCTGGCCCTGTCCCCCAGTCACCTACCATTTGATTTCTGTCACTATTGATTTGTTGCATTTTTTAGAATTTTATGTAAATGGAATCCTATAGTATGTACTCTTTCTTGTCTGGCTTCTTTCACTCACAGTAATTATTCTGAGAATCCATCCATCCACAGATTTTAATCATAAGCTGTCTCATTAGTTCCTTTCTTTTTATTGTTGAGTCCATTGCACGGATACCACACAGTTTGTTTATCCATTCACTTGTTAATGGACAGTTGGGTTGTTTTGCTTTTCAGCTATTGCATATAGAGCTGCTATAAACATTCACGTATAGGTTCTTGTGTGTACATAGGAGTGCATTTCTCTTGGGTAAAGAAAATGGCTAGGAGTGGAGTGGCTGGATCATATGACATATTTATGTTTAATTCTTTAAGAAACTGCCAAACCATTTTCCAAAGTAATTGTACCATTTTATATTCCCACCAAAAGCGTGGGAGAATTCCAATTCCTCTACATCCTTGTCAGACTTGGTATGGTCAGTTTTCTTTTAATCTTTTTTTTCCCAGCTTTAATGAGATATAATTGCCATATGACATTGTAAAGTTTAAGGTGTACAACGTGATGATTTGATATATGTATATATTGTGAAATGTTGACACAATGTTAGTTAATACATTCATCACCTCACAGTTACCAACTGTGTGTGTGTGTTTGTGTGTGTGTGTGATCAGTCTTTTTTTTTATTATTGTTAGTTTCAGGTGTACAGAACAATGCAATAGTTACCATTTTCACCCTCACAAAGTAACACCCCCCCTCCCCCCATCTATTGCCCTCCCACCCCCGATATCATGCTTATCTATTACAATTCCATTGAATCCGTTCCCGCTCTCTACTCCATGTCCCGAGACTATATGTATATATATAATTATAGTTGACATACTATATTATTCAACATCAGCTTCAGAAATACAATGCGGTGGTCAGGCCTCTGTGGGGAAAAGGGAACCCTGGTGATCAGTCTTTTTAATTGTACCCATTCTAATAGGTATATAGTGGTCTCTCATAGTTTTAATTTGCCTTTTCCTAGTAACTAATTATGTTGAGCATATTTTCATGTGCTTATTTGCCATCTTTATATCTTCTTTGGTAAAGTGTCTGGTTAAATCTTTGGTCCTTTTAAAACTGAATTGTATTGTTTTGAGAGTTCATTATATATTCTGGACACAAATCCTTTATCAGATATATGATTGGATGATATTTTCTCAAAGTCTATGGCTTGTATTTTTAATCTCTTAACAGTGTCTGATGAAGATCAAAAATTTTTAATTTTGATGAAATTCAACTTATTAACTTTTTCTTTTATGTATTATGTGTTCAGTGTCATAGCTAAGAAGTCTTTGCCTAACCCAATGTCACAAAGTATTTTTCTAGAATTTTTATAGCTTTATGTTTTAGATTTATGTCTATGATTCATTTTGAGTTAATTTTTTTTATAATGTAAAGTATGAATTAAAGATTTTGTATTGGTTTCATTTGGAGGGTTTTTTTTTGCATATAAATATCCAATTGTTCTAGCACCATTTGTTTGAAAGATTATCTCTGCTGAAGTGCTCTTACACCTTTTTTTCTTTTGAACATCAGTGTCCATTCATGTGTAAACAAAATATAAATATACAAAAATCAACTATATTTCTATACATTAGCAATGAACAATTGGAAATTGAAATTTTTAAAAAAGTGTATCATTTGCTATAGCATCAAAAAGTATGAAATATTAGGGGTAAATCTGATAAAAGACTGGAAAAGACTACCTGCACACTGAAAACCACAAACCACTGCTGAGAAATTTAAAGACCTAAACAAATGGAGAGATATGCCATGTTCATGGATTGGAAAAATCAATATCATTAAGGTGTCAATTCTCCCCAAATCAAAATTCCAGCAGGCTTTATTGTAGAAATTGATCAACTGATTCCAAAATTCACATGGAAATGCAAAAGACCTAGTAAAGCCAAGCAACTTTGAAAAAGAACTGAATTAGAGGAATAACACTTATGATTTTGAGGCTTACTATAAAGTTACAGTAATCCAGACAATGTGGTATTGGTGTAAAGATGGACAAAGAGCGAACAGAACAGAGGCCACCTGATGTTTTTAATGTGAGCTTAGAAGAGAAGTGGATCCAAATTATTAAATTTCCTACTTGGAAGTATGATCCTGGTCAGAAAGTATAGCGAGCAGCCCATTCTTTATCAATAGCTGAGAAAATAATGTAGTCTCAGATCTGTCCCTGCTAGTTTACAGTGCTACAAGACATAACAAGTTGTCATCAGTCTGTTCTTATTCAAAAGGCCAGATTTGGAGGGGAAACCATCATCTTGGGCAGGTCATTCACTTCTTACAGGTCGTCACAACCTGAAAAGACGATTTATTTGAAGACGAATATCCCTGTTCACCAGTTCTGGTTTGGTTATACAGAGTGTTGGTGCACATGGGGTGGTTTTACAGCTTATGTCTTTAAACATTTTTAAACCATTTTTTAGAACTCTGGGGAGTTTTGCCCAAACCTTGTATTTTTTATTTCAAATCAGTTTTATCTTGTTCTTACTGCTCTGAACTACCAATGATAGGGAAAAAAGTGATAAAAACTTCAATGTACAAAAAATGTAGGATTTGTTGAAATCAACCTAAATATCAAACAGTGGAAGATTGCATAAATAAAATGGAGTTCCTTTCAAATAGTGTACATGTGATTCAGTTTTTACTAGGAGGTCCAGGAGTAGTTGTCATTGAGCAGAGAGATATTATGGACTGTGTGTGTCTGTGTAGTTGTCTGTCTTTTCTTACTTTTCTATTATATTTTGAATTGTTGTGCTTGGCCAGTTAGCTCAGTGGGTTAGTGTGTAGTGCTAATATTTTGAATTGCTTTTGTCATAATAACAGTAGAATAAAACTAAAAAATAACACAATAAAGATCTAGAATTTTTGAGTTTTTATAATTCGTTTTAAATTATAGCTGATCTTCATGAAAACATATGGCATTGTTTTCATGACTTTATAAATTTTGCAGATTGCTCAAAATAAGGTTCTACAAAGTCATTGCATATAATATTTGTGCATTATACATACATTTTATAATCATTTACAATTTGTTTAAACAATTCCTTATTTGCTGGAGCTATGTGTAGGTTTCAGTTACCTCTAAATGGTTGGATATTTAGGTTGTTTCAAAATGTTTTATGTTCTAAACAGCACAGAGTAGGAATAATTGGATGAAAACTAAATAGAACAAAAAAGGCAAGGGGAACCATCTGAAATTCTAAAAAAAAAAAGGCAAAGCTGTTTCTGGAAATATTGTTTTCAATCAAATCATCACTCCAACTAACTTTGTTTTGGGC